TTGTGTGAGTGTGCTGGTGGTGCGCGTTGCCGTGTGTGTGTGTGTTTGTGTGTGTGTGTGTGTGTGTGTGTTAGCAAGTGTTTGTGTGTCTGTGTATTTTCCCCATAAGGCAAGACCCGCCCAACTCTGTCTCTGATTGGCTTACCCTGAAATGTTACCCCGCGTTAACCAATCATTACTCCTCTCTGCACTTTCACTTTTCCATGGTGCTGTGAGAGGACATCACTGTATTTACCCATTTAAATCACAGTAACTATAACGGCGTTACTGAATGGGAATAGGTAACTAAGTAACGTTATTAGTTACCGCAAAAGGTAGTTGCGTTAGTTTGTAACGCGTTAGTCCCAACACTGGTTTTAAGTAACGTTAGTTGTTGCATGCCCACACAACTTTGCATATTATTGGTATTGTAGTTTTTACAGTATGAGTTGATCCAGCCAGTTTAAAAAAACAACAATGAGAACCATGCACATTCCTTTAAAAACCCTGCTGTCAGTTGTTTGCTGTTTTCTAGTCTATAGGCAACTTTAATCAAATAAAGGTGACCTGTTAGAAATGTGTTACTACCACGGTGCCATGGTTTCTTTCTAACACTACACTGACACTAACTTCCTTCGCTCTCATTTCCTGATTCCCTGTCTCTTTGTTCTGTTAACAGGTTTTTCATCAAGGCAGGCTCTCCCAGCTTCATCGTAGTGGTGAAGGGCTCGCCATTCTGGGAGCAGTTTTCAACAGGAAAGAAAATACGAGGATTGTAAAATCATTACACATTTTCAGTAAACTGACTTCTCCCCGTGGAGAAAAGACAAAATGAAACATGTGTAGGTCTCTTGTGGTCCAAAGCAGGAAACCATCATCAATACAAAACAAATGAAATCGCTTATTTGGATTTTGTGTGTTTCTTTCTGTACATATATAAACTGAAAATCTGTTTTATTATAGTGGTTTATTCACAAACAAACAAAATAAACAACCATTCATTTCACAGATCAAAACATGCTAAAGCTATAAACAAGTAACGTAAAGGATAAATCAACATTGAAAAAAAGTTTAGATTACATCTGAATGAATCCCTTCATGCTACAAGTCTCACAATGAGTCAACAACAAAAGCAATAACATCTCAAGTTTAAATGTAATATCCTCTAAGTCAATTAGAAATGGAAAAGTTTCACATTCTTTAAAACAATAGAATTCTTGAGAAGTGAGAGGAGTAAATTAGTTTCGCTTTCAGAAGAAATGTGCCGAAGCAGTCAACCGAGTGGATAAACCGGTGTGTCTGCTTCATGACTTGGAACAAACCTCTCAGAAACAAAGCGCGGTTTAGGATACATCCAGAAATAAGGATTAACAATAATGAAAAATTATTTGAAACTAATGGTTAACATTGTTATATGGCTATAAGTGATGTGTGAATGAAGCCTCATGGGCTTGAAGATGTTTTAAACTATTATTAGGAAACTGAAAGTTGTTCTTCATACCATGGGAACAGAATACAAATGAGCTTCAATCTTTGTGTTTTATACTTAGATAAAAAGCCGTACGATCGGAGCAGAATCACATTTTTTTCATAAGACACAACCGACCAATGAGATGCCACAGAACTCAGGGTGACTTCTTGTATGCTGGTGGGCTCACATAACCAACTGGCTGTGGTTGAGCTGTCGTCACAAAGATAGGCTGCATTTGTGGCATGTTTTGATCCTGCATTGGAATCATGTTTTGATTCTGCATTGGAATCATGTTTTGATTCTGCATTGGAATCATGTTTTGATTCTGCATTTGTGGCATGTTTTGATTCTGCATTTGTATCACGGTTTGATGCGCCATATTGATGACAACAGGAATGATATTGCGATATTTTAACTCACGGTGCATCTGACACCAGGAGCACCACGAACAGAAACAGGACACTACAGCGTCGTCGCAGAGAGAACCCTGCAGAGATCCAAAGAAAAGTAACATGTTAAGTTGTATACTAGACAGTGCTTCACTTTGATTAAACTTGTCGTGTGAAATGTAGCAAATATCATTAGTATACACTTCACATGCATCATACCGTACCCTGATATGGTATCTGTTTCGCATGGCAGCCCTAGTAGACAGGGCTGCAGGAGGCACACAGATGGGTATTCCGATCGTTGCTGACATGCACATGGGTACTATGTCACATAATGGGAAACAATAAGTCTCTCCAAACCGTCCTGAAACGGTGCAGGCAAGACAAGGGCCGCACCAGAAACCATAGCAACCTGAAAACCCACAAAGACACACCAGTTGTATTGACTCAGTGACTTTTAAATGAAGGCCCTATAGGACAAAATAAGGCCTTGTCCCAATATAATGAAAATGTATCAACATAGCTGTATTGATTCTTACACGTATTCATGTCCTCAAAGCAGTCGAGGAGAGCGCTGCTCCAGGCTTTCTCTGGTTCTCCTGCCATTGTTGTTGGGAAACTTTCGCCAAAGACGGTGAACAATGAACCTCTTAACAAAGAGAAATCAGAAAAACCAAATGTGTGGCACCAGTGCATGATATGCTTTATTATGAATCGTATTATAATTGTCGTATGACTATATTATGATATATGAAGGGCATAGCACTATTTCTGACTTTTTAAGACATTCATTTATAATTTTTCTATGAAATACTAGACCATGGCTTTTACATGCCTGTTATAGGACATACTGTATTATGCAAATGTTGTTACATGTTATGACATTCATAAATAATATATGTTATATTAAGACTTTTATCATCTCACTATATTATGATTATGACACAACAGAGTTCTGTATGGCATCCACTACGTTTTCTATTAAGTGTTTTATTTTTATTTATCTTTGCTTACAATGGAGTAAACCATCACTTTTTTGTGAAATACTTTATTAGACTTCTTTTTTTATGGCTACTATACAGTTTTGATGACAGTGACTAGAGTAGCCGGGATATGGTTCAGGGCAGTAGCCTACAATGAAAGTGCAAACTAAAAACAAAATATATTTTCTAACTCTCTCCCACGATAAACCACTCACACTTTAGCCACATTCTTTTTACAAGTTGTCTTTCCTGCCCTGACACACCTTTAAGCTCAGTTTGACGCAGTAGGCGAATGGAAGTGAAAGCATTGTACGTTTTGTAAGTCACCTCATATTATATTGTAGCACATTAAAAAACTTTTCACAGATGCAATGAAGTCATAGGAATTGTTACAGGGTTTATAAAGTGATGGTAAAAATGTGCAGATGTGGTTTTTGTCAATTCAGATTTAAAAAACTGTACTTAGATGAACGATTAAAGTATCTGACATTTTGTTTACAAATATATCTTCATATATAAAAACGGCTGCATATTCCTGATACAAAGAAAGTGAAATTCAATTGATTTGGTCTTACCTTATGTAGCTGGATATATTCTCTGCACCTTGCCAGGTGCATCATATTATATACATCAGTTTCTGAAACCTACGTCATCAAAATGACTAGAGCTTTTATTGGATTGCTTTTGTATTGTTTTTCTGTGTGCTTCACCCAGCAGGCTATTTCTGTCTCTCTCTCTCTCTCTCGCTCTCTCTCTCTCTCTCTCTCTCTCTCTCTATATTTTTGTTTTTAAATTAAAAGCTAAATGTCAGAATTAATAAGAGCAGTACAAATCAGTAATTCATGTTTTATTTACATATGGAGTGAAGGATGCAAGCTAGTTCCGGCAGTGAACTTGAGCAACATCGTTTCTTTTACACATGCACACGTCACATGCCTCATTTGCTGTCTCTTTGTTCTGCGACAACACTCCCAGCTTCACCTCTCTGGTTCGATTTACTTCGATCATTTTACTCACCCTGTCAGCAGTCGGTGGACGGCTATCCCACATCCAGCCCTCACTTTTCACCACAGGGTTTCAATAAGGGAACAGTGCTGTGGTTATCATTAAAGACAACTTTATTTATTCTTTTAGTTACAGACCACACTCAGTTCCTAAGATTAAAGATCTGATCTTCCCAAGAAAATGTAAACAATAACTGTCATTATAAATTAGAAACGGAAACTCAATCAGCATACTCTGATAAAAAATAGATGGATTTAAAGTGATTACATTTTGTTAATTTCAAGTGATTGCACTTTGTTTTTTCAATGATAAACATGCAAAAACAGCAGCATGAGTTGAATTTCCTTCAGAAGACCCAATGAGAATCCACAGAGCTCAGCGTGACATCACGGTGACTCCTGGTTGGGTCACATATACAGCTTGGGGAACCATCATCACTGCAGGCTGCATTTGTACAACAGGTTGATTTTGCACGACGATGACATTGGGTTCTTTTGTTTGATGTTTTAACTCACGATGCATCTGACACCAGGAGCACCACAGACAGAAACAGGACACTGCGATGTCATTACAGAGGGAACCCTGCAGAGAACCAAATAAATAAACGTAGTGTTGGAAATTCATCATACAGTAGCTTCACTGTCATGAAATGTGACATGGGACGTCCAGTAGGCATCAGCTTTACATCATACCTTGATATGATATCTGTGACGAATGGCAGCCCTCAAAGACAGGGCTGCAGGAGGCACAAAGAGGGGTATCCCGCAGGACGCTGTTATAGCGGGGCTGAGCATGTCACATAATGGGAGACAACGGTTCTCTCCAAAACGTCCTGAAACTGTGCAGGCAAGACAAGGGCAGCACCAGAAACCATAGCAACCTGAAAAACAAACACAGAGATACTCAACAGAGTTACTTGCTAAAGAAGGGGTTTGATAATCCAATAATAAAAGTGTATTATTCTTACAAGTGCTCGCGTCCTCAAAGCAGTCACAGAGACCACTGCTCCAGTCTGTCTCGGGTTTTGCTGCCATCTGATGTTGGATGAGTTTAGCTGTGAACAATGTACCTGTTCACACAGAAATCAGAGCAAAGCAAAAACAAATACTCAACTTCTGATTATAAAAAGTTGATATATTGCAATTATCTTTGCCAGTAATTCCTTTGGAGCCCCTATGGAAAGGCCATTATTGCAGCACATTCATCTTTTAGCAGATGAACTGATCAGATCTCGGAGAGCCTTTCATAACTTGTTTAGACTTATCTGACAGCTGGCTGATAGCAGACAATGCTTCGAAACCTGAATAAATGTGCACAAAACAATGTGAAGGGAAAGTATGAGGAATAGTTTGACTTGTTTCGGTTTACTGTAATATGACTTTAGATCTTGTTTATGAGAAAATGTGAAGCGCCTTTAAATGTAAACCTTCCAACTTCTTGATATCTACCAGTTAGCACTTGTAAAGGAAATAAAAATATTTCCTAGATCAATTGCTAGTAAAAAATACATTTCTTATTGTGAGAAATGCGGAGCATGCTGCAATATATACGGTATATATTTATACACTCAAGGTTCCAAGTGTTTTGTGTTCAGAGATGTTCTTCTGCATTACTTGGTTTTAACGAGTGGTTATTTGAGTTACTGTTGCCTTTCTATTGTCTTTAACCAGTCTGGTAATTCTCCTCTGACCTTTGGCATAAACAAGGCATTTCTTCCCAGAGAATTGTCGCTCACTAGATATTTTCACTTTTTCTGACCATTCTCTGTAAACCCTAGTGATGGTTGTGTGTGAGAGTCCCGGTAGATCAGAAGTTTCTGAAATACTCAGACCAGCCCGTCTGGCACCAACAACCATGCCACATTAAAAGTCACTTAAATTCCCTTTCTTCCTCATTCTGATGCTCTGTTTGAACTTCACCACGTCGTCTTGACAATGTCTGCAAGCCTAAATGCATTGGGTTGCTGCCAAGTGATTGGCTGATAATATATTTGCGTTACCCAGCAGTTGAACAGGTGTATCGAATAAAGTGTGTGTGCCCCCATTACTGTGTTTCCACTCTATCATGTTTTGATATACTGTACTGTGTTCAGCTTTGACTAACAGTTAATAAGGAAAACAAACTCATACCCCAACTTTTCACAGAACATCTTAAAAATATTTAATACTTAAGAATTAATGTAAAGTACATTCAAGTCCATGAATGATAATATTTACTTTCAAGACATAAAAACAGTTCTACTACAGGGCTATAAACAAAATCTGACATGCCATTCCATTTTCTAATTAATTGTTACTACCAAAATAATTTAAAGTACATTAAAGTCCATTTACTTTTAAGACAGAAGAGGAAATGTACAGATTAACAAAAAAAACAAATATTAAACATTTGCAGGTATGTTTGTCGCTGCAGATAGAAACCAAAAGACTAAGATCTGTTTCTAAGAATCTATCATATTGTAATCCAAGCTGACCTTTGATTGTGTTTTTATATTTCAACATAATGAAGTTAATTCTTTAAAAAAATCATTTTTGACTTCAGAAAGATTATACTGTTAAATTCTTCTCATTAAACTTTCATTTAATAGTTAGGATAAAGGTGTAACATGTTTACCTGATGGAGCTGGACACCTCTGCGACTCTGAAGCTGTGAATGAATGAGAGCCTATGTTATGGTTTAGAAGTATCAATCGGTGTGTTTCGGACAGCTGAACTCAAGCAATGCTGCAAAACCTGAATCCATTGGCACAAAATATTGGAAACGGAACTACTTCTGAGGAATGGTTTGATAGTTTGATGTGCTAGCCCTTGACATTGTTTTGATTATGTACACTGTACTTTAGTTTAAGCACTCCATAATTTGTACTGTTTTATTCTGTATCCTTAATTGTTGTGCATCACTTCAAAAAAGTGACACTGATTTTCTACAATGTATTTTTATTTTGTTTATAATGAAGTTGTCTATTAGGGAAAACATAAAGACATTGTTAAACCTGTTTGTAAAAGGTTAAATCTACAATTTTAAAACCAGAGCCAACGTTTATTATAACTGAATGCATGATTTATACTCCGATGGCTTTGTGATAAAAAAATTGTGGATTTAATATGGACATTTTTGGCTACACAGTTTATTATAGACTTTTTATAGCAGTCAAGTTCAAACACTTGCAAACAGGTAGGCCATGAACCTTAAAACAGAACATTTGTTGAAAATACATTTCATACTATGATGTAACTAGTATTATGTCCATTACTATTTTCTGATGAATACAAGTAGTCAAGACTAAAGGGTTAGATTTCATTACTGAAAAGACGGCAGAATGCATTTTTATAATCCTAATAATCCTCATTTAACCCCGTCGTTCCCTCTAATTTCCTGATTCCCTGTCTCTTTGTTCTGTTAACAGGTTTTTTGTCAAGGCAGGCTCTCCCACCACTCGTAGTGAAGGGCTCGCCATTCTGGGAGCAGTTTTCAACAGGAAAGAAAATACGAGGATTGTAAAAACATTGGACTTTAAATCTTGAGACTTAACACAACATTGTCAGTGAACTGACTTCTCCCCATGGAGAAAAGACACAATGGAACATGTGAAAAAGTAGCAGCCTAAGAATTCAGTTACAAGTTATGTTGGCAGTTTTTATTTCAAACATCTTAGCTTACACTAATTAATGAAGTTTGATAAATATGAGTTAATATGTTTAAAAGTGTTCTCTTTGTTTAATGACATTTTCTATGACTTTAAAAGAGATAGCCAAAAGACAAAGTTAACTCTGCAACATTTCTTTAAAAACCCTGGTTTCATCTGTTTGGTGTTTCATGGTTCAACAAGCAGTGACATTTTAATACAACGTCACTCCTTCGAGTTCCTTGTAATAGATCATTTCCTTTTGTGAATGTTTATCTCATGATAGATAATCTGTGAAGGAATTTACTTTTACAATAGTGTGAAGGTTTCTTTCTTGACAATAACTTCCCCCACACAAATGTCCTGATTTGCTGTCTCTTTGTTCTCCGACAACACTTCCAGCTTCATCTCTCTGGTTCGATTTACTTCGATCATTTTACTCACCCTGTCAGCAGTCGGTGGACGGCTATCTCACATCCAGCCCTCACTTTTCACCACAGGGTTTCAATAAAGGAACAGTGCTGTGGTTCTCATTATAGATAACTTTNGGAGGCACCAACACTAACGTGGCCGAGTGGACTCCGGAGTTTTCTGCATGACTTGCACTGTATGATCTGTGGTGTAGTGGGCTGTCACTCAAAAACGGAGTAGCCAATGGGGACGCACCCCTGAAAGTCCCGTCCACCTGGGACGTTTGTGTCAGAATCTCAAAACAAAAAATGAAGGAGCCCAAACAAGAGAGCTGCAGCGAGAGCAAAAGTCTGATCATTGAGAAAGAAGAAACAAGAACTGCAAACAAAAACCTATGTTAAAACAAAGAAAAGACTTAAAGTTTACATGATTACACAAATGATTTGTTTGCAACTTATAGTTTTATTTTTTAAATTTATTTTATTTTGCTTGACTCACTTTTTTTTTCTTTTAAACTCATAGTTTTGCTTTATTCTGTTATTCTGAGAAAGTGTTGCTTTATCTTTATGATACAATTTACCAGTATAAGAGCAGTTTTTGAAATGTATATTAACCACAGGCATCCTGGGTTATTCTGAATGTCACCAGTTGATTTGTGTTAAACTAACTATAAAAAAGAAATACAGTATACTAAATCTTCAATTTATCTGTCATCTAGTATTGTGGTTGTACCAAGAGACTTCATCTTATTTTAAGTTGTTGTATTTATTTTTTAAAGGCTATCATTAACATTCTTTTATTTGTGTAATACGCATAGCATCAATTTAGAAATTGAATTATACTGTACTATAAGGACATAATTCACCATTATCTTTGGTTAAACACTAGCAAAATACTTATTGCCTTTTCTATTCTGTTTATTTAAAGATAGTTGTTGGTTGTTTGCTTCTATTTTCTATTAACCTCTAAAATGTATGCAGTATAAATGTAAGGACAATGGGTCGTCTTTTACTGTACTTTATTTTGGCAATTTTTATTCAAAGATCCTCTTAATAACTGGAAAAGAGATTGCTTGCCACAGTGGCTCTTCTACTCTTAATGTTTCAAAGCTGAGCACAGTTCATTTTCATTCAAATAAATTATGCAAAGCGCATCGGAAATCTAATCAGGTTATCTATAAAAAGATAAATATAGTGCAAAAATTATGTTTTCAGAGTTCTCCAACTGAATAAGTGGTGTGAGACTTACAGAATGAGATTTTTGTTTATCAGAAGTGTATTTTGCTTTGCACTGATTTGTGTGTTTACAGCTTAATTGTTCACTGTGGGTAGCTCAACTTATCCAACATCCGATGGGAGCCCCACCACCTGAGAAAGAGTGGAGCAGCGATCTCTTTGACTGCTTTGAGGACCACGCTACATGTAAGAAATAAAACCATGACTTAAAACGTTTTTTTTCCTTTTTTTGTGCAATATCAAACCCTAATTCAGCAAGCATCTCTGTCGGTGTATCTCCCTGTTTTTTTCAGGTTGCTACGGCTTCTGGTGTGGCCCTTGTCTGGCCTCCACTGTTACAGGACGGTTTGGTGAAAACCGTTTACTCCCAGTATGTGACATACTGAGCATGTGCACATCAGTCATTTGTGGAATTCCTGTCTATGTGCCTCCAGCAGTCTTGTCTGTTAGGGTTGCCATGCGAAACAGATACCATATCAAGGTAGGATGCTTGTAAGCATACTAGATGTCACAAAACAAATTTCATAAAAGTAAAAAAATGTAACTTAATAAACATATTTTGGTTTGGTTCTTTGCAGGGTTCTCTCTTGGAAGACATGTGTGCGTCCTGTTTGTGTCAGTGCTGCTCCTGGTGTCAGATGCATCGTGAGTTAAAACATCACAATAAAACTCCTAATGTCATCGTCATGCAAAGTCAACCCATTTTACAAATGCAGCCTGCTCCAGTGATGATGGTTCCTCTAGCTGGATATGTGACCCAACCAGGAGTCACCGTGATATCAAACTGAGCTCTGTGGACTCTCATGTGTCCGTCTGCCTTGTGAAGGAAGTTCAGCTCAGGCTGCTGTCTGTTTTATTAACATCTATATATCTAAGTGCATGTTTATCAAAGGTAATTACACTGCAATCTCTTTTTGTCAAAAGTATAGAGATTTCTTCTTTTTTTAAACTATAATGACAAACCTTGTTTCAAATCTCTTGGGAAAAGTACTTTGCATGTATTTGGTCAAGGATAAAAAAAGCTTGTGGTTTTTTGAATTTTTAGTACCAAATTAATTGACTGTGGTCTATTAATAAAGGAAATAATAAAGTTGTAGAATGAGGAATAAAGTAGGCCTACTACTCAGCGTCTTCATTGTAAGTGCACTTCATCCTAAAGGTCAACAGAGGGCACACTATGATCCAGATTGATGGTCAAAAGACATCATTAACTACAAACGGGGATGCACGACCCTCCCCATACCAGATAGTATCACTACATTGAATAATAAGACATATTTAGGATTTTTGGGCTTTTTCTGATTTTCATCAATATTTTTATAAAATAACATGAAACTGCTATAGTACAAATCAGCAGTGTTTTTATTAAAACTTTTATCTTTAATCTGACTCTTATACTCTAATGACAGTCCTTCACATAAATGTTATGTGAATATATTATAGCAGTTTTTGTTGAAACCTTTTCTATAGTCCCATGTCATGTGACACAGTCACTCCAAATCAATGCCCCATTTTTGTTCTACCCTTGACGAGTAGGAAACACCTCCTGGTGTTTTTTTATTGAAAATTCTTAATTATTTTATGCTGTCCATTATCTAATTCTGGTACTTCAAAACAATGCAGAATTGTATCACTTTACAGGACAAGGACATAGATTTCATTGGATTTTAGTTGATCTTCATTTATATGGATATTTGAATTACAATTCATCATTTTCTTTATTGGAAAATCTAATTGTAAGCAGCATTGTCATACAGTTGAAAGCAGGACACACCTATTTAAACAATAACCATTAAAACTTCAATATAGTTTTCACAATGGGATAAATGATGGAGTGCTTAAACTAAAGTACAGTGTACATAATTTTAAAAAAAAGGTCAAGGGCTAGCACAATATCTGATTGACTTTCAGTTTCTAATTTATAATCACAGATATTGTTTAAAATGTATTGGGAAGATCAGACCTTTAACATCTTTATTTCACCATGAGTAATCTTAGGAACTGAGTGTGGTCTGTAATTAAAAGAACAAATAAAGTTATCTATAATGAGAACCACAGCACTGTTCCTTTATTGAAACCCTGTGGTGAAAAGTGAGGGCTGGATGTGAGATAGCCGTCCACCGACTNGAATAGATGTTTCCATGTCCTTCCATTTGGGCCTGTATATGAAAACACACTAATAACACATACTGTGTGCGTGTGTGTGTGTGCGCGCGTGCGTGGGTGCGTGTGTTTTCATATACAGGCCCAAATGGAAGGACATGGAAACATCTATTCTCCTCTTATCTGTTTTCACAGTCAGATTGTGAGGACCCACCTCGTTTTGAAGACAAAAACCAGATCCAGACATTTTAATCTTAGACTTGGTTTAATGTTACACCTGATGTAGGTTCGTAGGTATGGTATTATTTTTGTGTCATAAAGATAAAGCAACACTTTTTCAGAATAAAGCAAAACTATGAGTTTAAAAGAAAAAAAAAGTGAGTCAAGCAAAATAAAATAAATTTCAAAAATAAAACTATAAGTTGCAAACAAATCATTTTTGTAATCATGTAAACTGACTAAGTATTTTTTCTTTGTTTTAACATAGGTTTTTGTTTGCAGTTCTTGTTTCTTCTTTCTCAATGATCAGACTTTTGCTCTCGCTGCAGCTCTCTCATTTGCGCTCCTTCACTTTTTGTTTGAGATTCTGACACAAACCTCCCAGGTGGGCGGGACTTTCAGGGGTGCGTCCCCATTGGCTACTCAGATTTTGAGTGACAGCCCAGTCCTCCAGCGATTGTACAGTGCAAGCAGCTGTGGTGCGGTAGCTGCCTGAGCTTGGATAGAACACCCGCAGAAGAACCAGCATTTCAGTTATTATAATACTACAAGTGAAAATATATGCAAGTTTTGATCATTTGCAGAGGCGCGGGAAGGTATTTTGAGTGGGGGTGCTGAGGNTTTTGTGTTATAGAAAGGACCTCCAGGAGGCCTTGTGCTGCTACACCGCAGATACCCTCATCGACATCGACACAGTGAAAGAATTCTGTGAGAAGAGTTCTAAATGGATACTAAAGAGGGAGAAAGAGGTGGATATGATGAAGGACATCAAAACCAGGGCAGATAACATTGACTTCAGCATTGGCCATGTTACCCAGTCACAGACCAGAGGTAAAGCCTTTCTGCAATATATGAAGAGCAAGGTAACCCAGGGTACTGCAGACAGGAGGCGAGCAGAGCCGGAGGAGGAGCTGGCTGCTCTGCTGAAGTCCACTCTGGAAGGCCTGGGGGAGCTCGACTGCTTCCTGGATGCGGTGGAGAATCTGGCGGTCACCTCACTTCCTTTGTTCATGGAAGAGAACCAGGTGTTACATCTGCCAGAAGGGATCAGCCCTGTAACGGTTCAGCTCGTCATCATTGCTGAACAGATGATCTGCCCTCACCTCATCAAGTTTAAAAGAGTTGCAGACGCCTTCTTCTGCCCCAAATCAGAATGTGGAAGTGCTGGCATATCAGCTGGACAAATACATAAGGACCACCGAGGAAATCTGTGAGAAGTTAGAGAAAAGGTCTTGCCTTAAAATATTATGCACATTTTGAAAAATAAACATCTATTGTAAAAAATATTTTCTTGTTTTTCCCAGTTCCTTCTGTCTTTTGCCCAAAGATGAACTACGATACACTGGTAGACCTCGCTGTGGATTTGTCTGAAGACGACACACAAAGGATGCTTCATCACATTAATCAGCTCGAGGAACTCAGGTACGTGTAACTCCTTTATGTGGTTTTTGTCAACACAGCTGTGCAAGGTCTGATGATAATGAAAACGATGACATGCACTCATTAATTGGCTTGATTGTTGTTTACCGCAAGGATCAACACAAATCTTTGTTCACACGTTTATAGTTCCCAGATGATGAATGCTAATGTCTTTGGTTAGCAACTGACTTTACCTCTAGCGCTCAGTCAAACTTAATCAATTTAATTGCCAGACTTTCGTTTGTCACCAAATTTCTGCAAAAGTTAAGATATTGCCTTTACCTCAGATGTACTGTTTAGTGGTAATTAGCAAACAGGCTGAACTCAGATCGTCATGCGATTGCACAAACAAAATAAATAAATGCTTACAAAATGCAAAGGAGCTGGAAACACAGCATTAATGCTTATAGATTCTGTAGGAGCCATTTTAGGGGTGTTGTTGGTGTCTCAGTTTATTTAATTTATATGTATAGTGCAATATTATTTTTGAACACTTGGTGGCAGGGTTTAGCTGCACCGGGTGTATAAAAGGGGTCACACGTGACAGGAAAGGACGAGGACACAGGAGGAAAGAGCNGCATGTTTGTTCTTAAACTGCTTTCTTAAATGGTCAGAAGTCTCGCTGGGTGACTGGGGATGCTAAACGACCTTCACATGTGTCACACAATAAAAAACATCAATTTTAACTTGAATTTCAGGTCAACGCTTGCCTCTAAAATCAAAGTCACCCATTCTAAACATACAGAACATCGGACACAACGGTTTTCGGAGGTCGGACATGTGCCTTCAAGTCGCCCACATTTTCTGAAACACACACAACAGGAGAAGGAGATATTTCACGTTCGGAAAAAAAGCCTTGAGGTGGGAACGTTTTTAAACGATTCAGGGTGAGACGATTAGTGCAGTTTCTGGTCAACATGCTGCTTTCTGGGAACACAGATTAATATAAATTCCACTTTCACAAAGGGACTATATAACACAGAAAGCACGAATAATGGACAGATAAAGGAAAGGAGATTATTTTTTTGCTCTGCTTTCGTCACCGTCAGGTGGTTCGGTGCGGGCATATAGATCTGACTCGTTTAATTTTGTTACTCGCTATACTAAAAGTCGTTTCCACAGTGTTGCCGTATTGTATTCTCCGCTTTGTTCCTTCTGCGTCGCGGTTGAACTTTTTGCGCCGGTATTCCTTACCCTTACTGATGAGTGCACCTGGTCGGGAGCAAGGTTTTACGGGACCAGGAAGGGGAAAACATGGAACCTTTTTATGTTTTCGACAAGAGACGGAGAAAAACTGCGAGTTTGGGGGCAGACAACGTTGTTTGGGCCACCTGGCGACTGTTAGGACTGGAATGCTTGCCATCCTAGAGGGGAGGCCAGGTGAGGAGCGAAGATGGAGGACGCATGATAGAACCGAGAAGTTTTCTTAATGCTCACCATAATCTCCTCACTCGCCGCTCCTTTCTCGTCCCCTCACATAACCACTCCTCCATCTGCATTCCTCTTTCTTTCTCACCCACCATCACTTCTTCCATCGAGCCCTTCCTGTCCCTTCAATGTTCTCTCTCTGTTCTCTCTCATCCCTTCCTTTTCCCTTTGTGCAACACTTGTTTCTAAATATCTCAATCTAGGTACCGTCTACATTACAGGGCCCATTTTCAGCTCGAGCAGAAATGCGTCTCCAAACTGTCACCAGTACTTTATCTCAGACCAGCCTAACAGACGTCTATTATTATCTCCCTTTACATCCATTCATTAAACCCCCTTCACTAAATCTTCACATATTGGTTGTGGCCCAGTCCTTGCTCTTGAAAGGCCTCCAAAGACCAGCAAAAAGCCCCTATAGCTGGTTTGTTCTACTGGTCTGTAGTATAAAATATGCTAAAGAATGCAATCGTTTTCCTCTCTAAAGTTGTAGGAGCCATTTTACGGGTGTTGTTGGCGTCTCAGTTTATTTAATTTATATGTATAGTGCAATATTATTTTTGAACACTTGGTGGCGGGGTTTAGCTGCACCGGGGGTATAAAAGGGGTCATAGGTAACAGGAGAGGACGAGGACACAGGAGGAAGAGCATACCGATTCCGTCAGCCCGGCAGATGCTCATACCACATCTATTGACTGTAATTAAACCTCGGTATGTAAACGGTAAATAAAACATCATTCTAAACTGCAGCAAAAGACCGGATATTCATCTGTTTGTGTCTGCGTCAGGATCACTCTAAACACTCCTGTGAAGTAATGGCAAAAGGATATACAGTAGGACATTGGAACATTAAAATTGCCACTACAAATATAATAATATATACGGAAGTATTAACAGTAAAATGTACTTTGTGTATCAAAAGAAAAGTTCTCATTATGCTATATTGTAAAGTGTTGTAGAATAATATTATTCAGTTTTTATCAGTAGCAAATACATTTACATTTCAAATCATTTTAATGTTGTAGTGTGGCAATGTGGAGCAAATTTTGGATACTTTTTACTGTGAATATTAAAATCAAAGTATTGCATCAATAATAGTGTTTTCCTATGTACAAAGTCAATAACTATAAGTATTTAATACATGTATTTGAGTAGAAAGTACAATACTTGCCTCCAAAATGTAGTGCAGTAAAAATATTATTGGTATTAAATGGAAATACTCAAGTATAGTACAAGCATGCATGTCAAAATTGTAGTAAATGTACTTAGTTACATTCCTCCATTGACTTCCATTGACAGTCTAAACAGAGAGTGAGTTCTAGGTGTGCACCAGACAACACCTGTTGTATAGATGTGTGTCCTGGCATTACCAGTTGTCTTCACACTATGTCAATTCTTGCTTTTGTCATGTTTTATTTTTCCTTTCTTCTGTAAATGTATTTTCATTTTATATATTAAGCATTTTTACCTTATACTAATACGATTGTGGAGACTCATTGGACACAGTGATGAACTGTAAATCAGGGTGTTTCCATGGATGCAACCCTGGAGGAAAAACGCATCCACCAAGTGAGGTCAGTTCTGTCTATGTGACCCGGTTTCTGACATTTGAGGCCAAAAAACCCAAAACTGTTGTCCTGCCATCCCCCAGTATGATCCTCGCCTTGAATATATTCAGACCTCTTGTCATAATTTATAAAAAAATATTCATTGCTGTTATTTTTCTAAGACCAACACACAGACACCAACTTACTCCTCTCACAGGCAACAAGAATGAATCAGAGGTTTTTAATAAGCAATTAAACAAAATATGATTCTTTATTGTTATGTTAAGAAACTCAGTCAACACAGTATTACATGTTAACTGGTAAATGGAAAAACTTCACTTCACTTTTTTTAACAAACAAACCAACAGAATCATTTGAAAGTCACAAAATCATGTAAGGATTGAAGAAACAAAGAATCAATTTTCTAGAAAATGCTTTTTTTTAACTTTTATGCAATAAATGCTGCATGTAGATTAAAAAGAAATACTTCAAAATAAAAATAAAATCTACACATGGTTAGACAAATCTACAGTGGTTTAAATATCCTTCAAAAGCCATTTGGGTAAACTTCATTAGAACCCGAGAGAAAGGGAAAAGTTTTTTGGAAATGTTCAGGAAACAGGAAAGTAACTTATCTACCAATTGGCATGATTATCATTATTGTGGCAATATGGGACTGAAATTGAACCCGCATGCGTTAATGCCAAGGAGACATGATTCAAAAATTATTACAATACTGAAAAACATAAAGCAAGGTAAAACAAGCACTGTCTCCCACACCTAGACACAAATAATGTTTTTTTACACTAAAGGACCACAACACCACCGATAATCTGAGCTAAATCAAACGTTGTTCACAAGACAGAGCAGACCAATGAGAAGCTGAAAGGCTCAGTATCTAACTCCTGGTTGGGCCATGAAACCAGCAGGAACACTCATGACTGGAGGAGGCTGCATGTTGACAATGACCACATTGTTTTTCTTGCGAAACTTTAACTCACGTTGCATCTGGCACCAGGAGCACCACTCACAGAAACAGGAACTCGCAATGTCGTTACAAAGGGAACCCTGTGGAGAACCAGAGTACTGATAAGGCCCTTTTTTTTATAAATGTGTTCTTGTTATTTTTTAAAGTCTTACATTATCTACAATGAAAAAACTAAAATGTTGATTTTAATAAAAGGGATTATGTCAACAGATTTCACATAACTGTATTAGGTTAGTTGAAAGCAATAATATTAAGTTTTACAAAATATTTTTATTTTATTTTAATCTGAAATGATTAGGTTCAACTTGATGTTATTGCTTTGAACTAACCTATTACAGTTATGTGAAATCTGCTGACATAATACATTTAATTTAAGTCATCGTTTCAGTTGTTTCAGTGTAGTTGTTCCAATTATGTTTTAATATGTGAACAGAGAACATGACAAACATGTTTTCTTGAACCTCAGGAATGTAGGCTATATCATTATTCATGCTTAATTCAAATGTATAAATAATCATACAGGCTACATTTTCTGTCGATGTTTACCTTGATACCGTATCTGTGTCGAATGCCGACCCGTAGAGCTAGCGCTGCAGGAGGCGCACACAGCGGCAGGCCGCAGGCGGCTGTGATAGCGGGGGTGAGCATGTCACATAATGGGAGACAACGGTTCTCTCCAAACCTCCCTGAAACTGTGCAGGCCAGACAAGGGCAGCACCAGAAACCATAGCAACCTGAAAAACAAGCAGTTTTAATAGATGTGTAATATCAAGTGTAACTGGTCTATTAGATTAAAGAATAAAACACAAATTATTCAAACATTGAAGCCTTTTACAAATGAATCTGACAGTAATTTGAATGAACAGGATTGAAGGTTGTGGTGTTGATTCTTACAGGTGCTGGTGTCCTCACAACAGTCAAAGAGGCCCGTGTTCCAGTCTGTCAAAGGGTATGCCATTGGCTCTGTAACTTCACCACAGCTGGATAGAAATGAACCTGTCAACACACAGAAAGTTGGTTTAGCAAGAACATATAGGTTAAATCATTTAAAAGTTACACATGAGGAATGCAATATACATATTTAATCCTTAAAGAATTCCAGATTATTTTCTTTCATAGAAGATAACAAACAGGACATTTCTCGACAATTATACTATATCTTTTGTGTGAAAAAGTCTTAAAAAAAGAAGCAACAGGATGAGTCGTGGTGTAGGCTATTCACTTGTTAAGGTTAGGAGAATATTTATTTCAGTTTGGGCATAATATTTTTTAGATGGCCAAGTGAAGCCGATGCACAAAAATTTACAGAATGACTCACAGACGCGGACGGCTCTATTGTGATATAAATCACAACAGAGCCGGTATTGAGGTCCTAAATATTATAATCATAGAAACACCGGTTTATGTTAATTTCCTATCAGCAACAACTTATTAGAGTATGATTATCATCAGATGCCACTGCGTATGGTTAGACTAATTCAGCCTTGATTTCTGTGTGTAGTCAGTAGAATGAACATCTTCCATAGTTCATCAAAAATATATAATAAATTGATCATCTAAAGCCAATGTAGACATTGAGAACATGGAGGGAGTTGCAGTGACAGGGAAAGGTCTCTTCACATTGCTTCAGATAAGCTAGTGTACACAGCACTCCTCAGGGTGTGTGAGCTTGAGTCTTTGAGGCCTGGGCAGCACTGATGTGAGAGTGCTGCTGTTACCGAGTGAATGACTGCAGTTTGCCTTTTAAATAGCCATGGACCCAGGAGGAGCCACCATGATACAAACACAGATGATTTCCATGTATTTATGGAAATGTAATACGAGCAGATCCTTTTTTTGTTTTTGTATTCCAGTTATTATTTCATTACATTTAAGTAACGTTGCATTTGATCTATATATGGCCCAGTAGTAACTTGTAGTATAAAAAAAAAAAACGTTTCTCTGTTTTTGTGATAAGGTTACAATGACTTGCAAATATGATGCATGTGGCTATGTTAAAAATACAATTATAATAAACGCTTTTTTTCCCTCCTTTACCTCCTCTTCACTGGATCATGTAAGCTGCCAAATTTGAGAATCAGCTTTCATTTTACTTTTAAAATAAATATACTTAATTTCTTGACAGCAACATTAAAAAATCTCACCTGATTAAGCTGAAAGCCTTGTTGTCACGTCCAATTGCAGGGGGAATATGCCTTGTATGAGGAGCGGCACCTCATGCATTGGGCAAGTAAGCCCGAACAATGCTGCAGAACCTGCCTGAACCCAAAAGCAAGGAAAGGTAGAAACAGCATCAACAGCATTGTGCCGTTTTTATGTTAAAACAGGTGTGGCAAACCAGTCAGACACGGTCCTTGCAAAGGATTGTGAACATTTTTAAGGACGGTGAAAATGAATGCACGGTTGTCATGGCTAATTGTTTCTTACCTTACCTCTGTGTTTGACTCTGTTGGGATCCACTTCATGTGTTTCGTAGTGAAATTATAAGCTGAGGTTGAAACCTTTGTGTTTTAAGTAAAACCCATTTGACGATAAGACATTTCTCCTTGGTTAAAGGTGACCTATCATGCAAAATCCACTTTTGTAAGTCTTTTATACATGAATATGTGTCCCCGGTGTTCCAGGGAACTCACCAAGTGTCAGAAAACACAACCCTCTCTATTTTCCTCCATACCCAAACCTCTTAAAAAGGGGCTGCAATGGATCTGATACAGACTGATCCAGATTTGAACACTTCTATGACGTCACAGAAGTGGTGCTACGGCTATTGGGCCAACTCCACCAATCAGGAGGAGACAGCCACGGACATTGCCGTTCGAAAGCGCTGAAGACGCTGTAGTACATATGCCAGGCCTGTAGATGGTGCTGTTCTCACAGAATCAGCCCATGCAAAGACAGTGTTAAATTGAGCGAAATGAGGAATGGATAAAATGCATGATCTGTTTGGTATTTTGAAAAATAAAAAGTATAAATATGCCTTATATAGGTATGGTCCTACACTATTCAAATATAGCATGATAGGTCCACTTTAAGTTTTCCAAAAGAAAATTTGCATTATAATTGATTCATCCTAGTAGAGGTTCCACATAACATAGCTTAACATGTGCTCTCCTATTATATCACTATATCGCTTTTTTGTAGTTTCAAGCTTTCAATGAACATGACATCAGAAATTTGTTTTTACAGGTGTCATACGGTTTTTCTATATTTCTGTCTCACGATAATTGAGAAAGGATGCAGGAGGGGAAAACTGTAGTATCCCAGCAAAAAAGTAGTTTTCTTTATTTTTTTAAATCAAGGAGATATGTTGTGCCTGGCATGAATGTAACGAACAACTGTAATTCAATAACATATTGCTTGCTACCATAAAAGCCAAGTTGTCTCTTACATAATAACATCTCCAGCATGATTCTATTAAAGTTGAGATTCTTTTGTATGATTTATTACAGGGAGTTTCCTTACAGCTATATTTTTGTTACAATGAAATGTGAGTGGAGTAAATAAATGAAGTGGACAGGTAACTAAGCTCTCTCTATATTTGTTTTTATGTTGACAGGAAGACATGCCATCATGAATACCTCATCAGGCTGGAATCTGTTTCCACAGTTGTGGCTGAGATCTGGAACTGCAATGGCCAAACAATATCCACACTTCCAAACAGTGTCAGTGTCCCCTCGTGCCCTGTATTCATTTATTCCAGTGTTTAATGTAATGTCTGTAGATAAAGAACATAGATAACATAATGAGTGCTTAAAAACGAGTCTTTTATTAATAGTGTTGTATACTACCCGCTTCTGGTAATCACATTGAAATATAACACTGTTTTAGACAAGATTTAAGTATTACTAAGCAGCAATAAAACGTCCAAATGATCATTTACATAGCCAAGATGGAAGGGCTAAAAGGGCATCCTGACCACAGTCATTTAATTATTAATACACCAAACTATTATTTCTTAAATTCGTCAATGCTCTCAAAAGGGGGCATCTAATCTAATATGAAAAAAACATGTTTCCACCTAGAAGTAACCATAAAAAGCAAAATCCTTTTCAGTTTAACACTCCAACTGTATTAAGCTTGTAGGTCCAACCTTGCCAAAAGGCTCTTCTAAAAATCTTAATAATGGAAGAATCACAAAAAATATATATATATACTGTTGCTGTATACTGTTCATTTTAATCTGTGAAATGCTGTAAAAAGTTTTTTTTACTGCATGTCAGCTCATGTGCTTGTATGTCATAATTTAGCTTCATGTATAGGAGTAAGACCGAGCTACTGGTCTCTTTTTCACCAGTTGTTTAGGCACCACTGTTTCCAGCAGCCTCCTCACTAGGTCCAGTCTGCCTGTCTTGATCAGAGAGCGGGATAGCTCTGTGACCTCCTCTGTGTGAGTCCTGTAGAGGCACCTGAGCTCGGATTTTACAACGTCCTTAGGGTACTTCTCCTCTGCCTTTTGCACCCACAGCTCTAGTTGGGCGATGGCGAGGCTTGGGTCAGGGCCTCCCAGCATGAACAGAGTCAGGAGAGCCTGCAGGAGGCAGCGCAGGGCCGTGGTGTCCGTGCTGCCCGGCCTCTCCAGCTCCACAGCCAGTTTGAAGCAGTCTGCAGCGTTTTGCTCCTCGCCCTTCAGCAGGAGGCAGCGTCCTCTGAGCACGTGCAGGTCCGGCAGGCTGTCCCCCAGCTCAAACTGAAGGGCATGGGACAGACTCACCAACGCACTGTTCACTGCGCCCTCATCCACCAAAAGGCTCTCCTGAAGGGCATCTACACCCATGTAGTAGTACACCTAAAAAGAAAAGACATGAATTATGTTTGTATTTAATATATATTTAGAAATCTATCTTTATTGCTCATTATTAGTTTGTGTCTTTACCTGTGCCATCTCCAGGTGAGTCCGCAGACACGGACGTACAGTCAGGACCTTGTCCAAATCTTTTCTGGCCTCAACTAGTTTCTGTCGGTCTGGAATTCCACCTTGAGCATATTTTGCCTTCTCCAGGTCCCTGACATAAAGCATCACATTGATCTAAAGAAAAAATAAATAACTTTGAATAAATAAGGGAATATAAATACTAAGGCTGCACAATATACATTTGTTGTCAATGAAAACTTCTCGAAAGACTGATATCGCTTGTGTTTTTGTGATGATTTCTTGAGTGATTTGAATGTACGGCAAGTTGGTCGAAACCAACTACGATTTTCTACTTGCATAATCAGTAATTGTATATGCATGATTCTTTGAGGAGAAAACTGTTTTATAGATTAAAACAACTGAACTTTCAGTCGACGAAGAAGTTCAGGACAATCGTAAAAGAGTATCAGTATAGAAAACCGTACTTCAAACTGTAATAACAATAATTTATTTTTACTTTTTTTGTTCAGTTCAATGCTCAATTTGTTCGCAAAAATGAATTATTTTGAAATAATATCTTGAACTAACAATTTGTTGTATTTTAGTTGTATTTTGAAACGAGCGCAACTGAGTACATTTAATTCAGTCATATTGTATTTATTATTCAACAATGGCATCGCCCATTGCCAATGTGTTTCTCATCTGAACAGCCCTATTGAATACATACTGTACCATGCACAAATGACAACACCAGTGATTAACATCAGGAATTTGGATTTCTGTGCATCTTTCAGACAAATTAATGCAAATTGTCTTGCATTAAAAGGGATTTCACGTTGTAGGTTTTGCCAGCTTGGTTTCAGGATGCGTTGCCGGGCGGCAGTACCTTAGCGCGGGTGCAGTAGGCCTGCCAGTTGAGCTCTGGGTCTGGGAGCACGTTCAGGGCCATGTTGCACATCCCTGTGGCCATCTCATGTTTGCCCAGCAGAAAGAAGACCTTTGCCAGAAGGTTCAGGGTGAATGCATCCTCACTGGCCAAGTTTATGGCCTAAAGGACAAAGACAAGTATGTTACGATGAATATATACAAATATTATCACTTGACATCATTATTGAATCAGGTTTTCCTGTAAGTTTATCTATTTCTATTTGAAACAGGGTTTTGGTCGGCATAAACGCATAGACACAGCAAAGGTGGATGTGTTTAACAGGAAGTAACTTTTACAAGGGGCTTTGTCAATTCAATTTAAACTCAAATAGCTTTATTAGCATGACCATAATGTACATACAGTATTGCCAAAGCTCTGTACAATTGCAAAATCCATACACAAATATACAAACTGGTTAACTGCTTTTTCTATTACTGGAAGAAACTGTATAATGTATAATATATTGATAATGATATAATGATAATGTCAGGTTGATTTTAGTCAAATGATTATCATACTGTATAGGAGTCCCTTATATTCTCCAAGCTTGCCTGATATTTGGTGAAATATCTCAATGTGTGAGTTAACTTACAGTTCCATAGCAGGATAGAGGATCAGAGGCAGAGTAGCCACAGTCATGTATGGACATGGGAACAGTGGTGAACTCTTCCTTCCTCTCCAACATGATGCCAACATAACACCAGGCAAGAGCTGAGGGGAGATACCAAAATCAGAGTGTATACCAGTTTCTGACAAAACCAACCATGTGTCGTTTGTCTCCCTCTAGATTAAAGAAATTGCTACTACTGTGTGTTACAACATCTTAAATACAGTCTTTGTTATTACTAAAACACTACAATAGTTGAGGTTCCATTGTATGGATTTCAATGTAAGGTTTGAACTAAAGTAGGCCCATATATTTGCAGCATGTAAATAAGTCAGCACAGCTTCACTTCACGTTCAACTTTACGCCTCTAAATGTACAAAAGAGCAGCTATGCTCACAGATAAACCTGATGTGATTACCTTTGTGTTGCGATTTGTCTGAATCTAATGTTTCTTTGAGAAGCTTCAGACCCTTATTGTAGTGAGAGAGTCTGGAGTATTCAGAGTCCACCTTGGTCTTTACTATGTCGTCAAGTCTGCGGGGAGAAAGTTACTTAATAAAAATGACACATCATGTGATGTGGTGGTTCATCATATGTTTTCGTTTTGTACCTTATGTAGATAGTGGCCATTTTAAAATACCAGCTTCTTTTTTCCTCTACTGATATCTGAAAAACAACAATACATACAAGTATTTAGTACGTTCTACAATTATATTTATTTTACAGGAACACATATTTGCATTGGTTTTATTGCTATTCCACCTTAAAGGTAGGGTAGGTAATTCCCTTCAGAAACACTTTTTGTTATATTCCATGGAATGCTCTTAACATCCCGACAGCAATGAATACATTAAATGCTTTGGCA